GATGAGAATCAACGAAAAGAAGACTAACAATATCATGTACCTGATGGTGATCTTGATCTTGTGAGGCCATTGACAGAGAGAGAGAGAGAACGTGGCCAAGAAAAAGGGGAAAATAAATTTAGGGTTTATGCCGAGTTAAAAGGAGGAATTCTATCTCTCACATCTAATGCTCCTCATTTGGGCCAGATACTAACAAGAAGAGAAAAGCCGAAATATCCGTAGTTCTATACCCAATCACTCTTAGTTCATTCCGTTAAATCATAACAATTATGAACCCCCCCCCAAAACCAAATATTAAAGAAATTGGCCATATCTACTAAAATATAAAAAAATATACCAGAAATGTCACATATATCTTTTAAACTTACATAATTTTTCCTTTTATATAAGATATGAATGAAATAAGCTCACCATAATCCATCCATTCATCATAGTTTTTCCCATATTTTTAATTCCAACCTTATCATATAATTTAAAAAAGGAAAAACATGAAAAAAATTATTTATACATATAGTTCATAATATAGTTCTTTCTTTAAATCAACTTAAATATAATTTTATCATGACTAATAACCCATTTGTTTCCCTTTGTTAAATAATACATTTTGTATCTTAAAAAGGGTTGTGACGCATTGACCTTGTTAGACAACACAACATCATTCCGATGCAGTTAGTAACGCAAATTCGGCTCGTGGGTTTCCTGTGATCTATCAAATGAAAGCCGCAGTGGAGATGGCTTGCCCAAGAACCGTTTCATGCGACGATATGCTCACCACGGCTGCTCAACAATATGTCACTTTGGTATGTTCTCTAATCTCTATTAATTAAATCCGTTTTATTTTATATGTTCATGACGACTACAAATAGTGCTTTTCAGTCTTACGATGTCAAGTCGTAGCTTTACATATCATCACGAAATAAAAAGTTTGAAAAGAAAAAGGGAAAAAACCTTAAAAATACCTCACTTTATAAACATTTGCTAGAAAAATACCCAGACTATTAACGGTATCTGAAAAACACCTAACATTGTTTTGGCTACCTATTTAATACCCGAACATTCAAAAACCGTAAGTTTGACTCCCCATTTTTAACTCCGTTTAGCTGTTAAACGGAAACTCTAATACGGTGTTAATTCCCTGTCAAAAACCTTAACAGCACGTGTTTAATCAAAGAAAAAAAAACAAAACTACCCTTTGTCGAGGAAGAAGTCGAACTGATTTCCCCCCAAATTGAAAACCCTAAATCCATTGTTTTTCCCCAAATTGAAAAACCTAAATCAATCTTCATCACAACGACTTCGAATTCGATCATCGGAAAGAGATTATCGTCTGTCAATAGGAGGAAGTGATTTTGCGAGAGTTGCGAAATGAGGTATGGTTTTAAGGATTTAGAAATTTGGGTTGAATTATGGGTTTAGGTGTGTGTCGTTTATGAACTTTTGGTGTCTTCACTAATTTTCTGTTTGATAATGCAGTGATTCTTTCAAAGTAAATTTGCATTATAGAGGGCGTATGTCTATAAAGGATGGGAACCGGTTATACAGTGGAGAATCCGTGGAGGAGGGTTTAGTCGTCGATCCAGATTTCATGTGTTGGAGCATTTTTGATGAGTACTGCGAGAAGTATGAACGGTTGTGGTACAAGCTCCCGCATCAGAGTTTGGAATCAGCAAAGCATATTGATGAACTCTTGTCTGATTTAGAGTTAATGAAGATGTGCTCTGAAGCTCTTGTAGGAGGAGAAGTAGATGTCTACCTTGAGAAAACTGTGGGTGAACCTGTAGCAGAGAATGCAGAAAGAGAGAAGGAAGGAATCGACGAGGAGGAAGGAGCCGAGAAAGAGGAAGGAGCCGAGAGTGAGGGTGGAGTCGAGAGTGATGATGGAGTCGAGAGTGAAGGTGAACCTGTAGGAGAGAATGCGGAAGGAGAGAAGGAAGAAAACGAGGAGGAGGAAGGAGACGAGAGTGATGGTGGAGCCGAGAGTGATGGTGGTGATGCGGATAATGATAAAGGTGTTGACAACCCACACCCAGATGACTTGGCAACAGGAGAAGAAGTTATAGAAGAAGGGATCAATGATATTCGGTTTGAAGAGTTTATGAATGAAGTTCATAATGATGAGTCTGGTGCGTTTGATCCAAAATCTCAAAACCAGCCTCCACATTCTGCTGAACCGCCTGCGCCCAATGCTGATGAAGTTCCTGAGTTTGAAAGACAATGTAGGGATCCAGAAAATTCTGATCCTGCTGAGGACACAGATGAAGAATGGGATAATTTCAACAGAGTGGAGAGAGAGACTTCAAGAAAGAACTACAACAAGGAGTTGCCTCCATACTTGTGGTTGATGCAGACATTCAAGTCTGGCGCAGAGTTTAAAGAGCAGCTACTGAGGTATGTTCTGAAGACCAACTATGATGTTTATCAAAACAAGTGGGATAAAAACAAGTATGCAGCAATTTGTGCAAAAAAGGGTTGTAAGTGGAGGATTTACTGCTCGGTAGAGAAAAGGATAGGATTGTGGATGGTTAAAACATATGTGGATAAGCATAACCACATGAAGAGTAGCAAAGCAAGAATGCTTAAACAGGGTACGATTGCTATGTTGTTTAAAGATGAAGCAAGACGGAGGCCAGGTATAAAGTGGACTGACATCAAGGATGAGATCATGATGAGGTACAATCTCTCTGTCTCCAAGTGGATATGCACTAAGGCTAGAAGACTAGCTTTTGATATGGTCATTGAAACACAGAAGGAACAGTTTGCTAAGCTGTGGGATTATGAGTATGAGCTACGACGGTCTAATGCTGTTTCAACCGAGATTGTGACACTCCCTCGGCCTGATGGTAAGTTGGTATTTGACAGATTTTATATCAGTTTTGACGTGCTTAGGGATAGTTGGAAGCGTAATTGTCGACCAATTATTGGTCTTGATGGGGCTTTCATGAAATGGGAGCTCAAATGTGAGATTCTAGCTGCTGTTGGCCGAGATGCAGATAATAGGATATTTCCGTTTGCTTGGGCAATTGTTAGGGTTGAGGATAATGAGTCATGGGCTTGGTTTGTTGGTAAACTGCAGTCAGAACTGGATTTAGGGACAGGTAGTGGGTATAGTATCATATCTGACAAACAAAAAGGCTTGGTCAATGCGATTGCGGATCTCCTGCCACAAACGGAGCATAGGCATTGTGCTAGACACATTTTTGCCAACTGGAGAAAGGTCTATAGTATGGAAGAGTATGAAAACTACTTCTGGGCGATTGCAAAGAACACATCGCATGGGGATTTTGAGTTTAACAAGGAAGCTTTGGAAAAGTTTGATCTTGTGGCATGTAAAGACCTACTAAAAACGGATCCAAAGACTTGGTGCAAGGCTTTTTTCAGTACACAGTCTAGATGTGATGATGTCTGCAATAATCTGTCAGAAAGTTTCAACAGAACCATCAAAGATGCTCGCAAATTGCCTTTGATTAATATGCTTGAAGAGATTAGAAGGCTTTCTATGAAGCGTGTATCTCGGAGGAAGGAAATGACAGGAAAATGTGAAAGCAGGTTTCCACCTAACATAATGGAGCTCTTTGAGGAAAATCGAGTTGAGAGCGAGACGTATTCAGTTATTCTTAGCAGTGAGAACTTGTATGAGGTTGTTCAATATGATTGCAGCTATGAGGTGAATCTTCTGTACAAGCATTGTGCTTGTAACAAGTGGAATATCACTGGAATTCCTTGCAGCCACGTTATTCATGTTATATCTGAGCTAAACCGTGACCCTGAAGAGTAAGTTATAAAATTTGATTAACTGTTTACCATTTTGTTAGATATGTGTGATGTAACTCTCTTTTTATTTGTGTTGTAGTTATGTCGATGAGTACTACTTGACAACAAAGTGGCAGGACACATATAAAGACAACACTAAGCCGGTGAATGGTGAGCGATTCTGGTTCAAGACAGGCAAAGATCCTATTCAAGTTCCTGAAAAAAGGAGAATGTCAGGCCGTCCGAGGAAGTACAACAGGATAAAAGAGCCTCATGAATCAGCATCAAATCCGACAAAGGTCACACGAGGAGGAAGAGTTATAACATGTAGCAACTGTAAGCAAACTGGTCATAACATAGGCACTTGTAAAAATGCTACTTTCATTGAAGGTCCTAAACGAAAAAGAGGAAGGCCTAGAAAGACACAGGTACGTATCAAGCTTGGTTATGTCTACTTTGACTTTTTTGTTTAATGTTCTATAGTAAATATCTTCTGTTATGATCATGTACTAGGAGGATAATCAATGGAGCATTGAAAATGCTCCAAAAAGGAGGAGGAGTGGTCAGAGTTCTACACAGCCGCAGCCACCATCGACTTCTACACAAGAATCAGTTGATCCACATCCTTCAAGCGCACCAAGTGCATCAACTGGACGTGGCCGTGGCCATGGACGTGGCCGTGGACGTGGCCATGGACGTGGCCGTGGTCGTGTCCGTGAGCCTCCGGTTCCTAGAGGTTATGGTTGCTACATCTCCCCTTTCACTGGTCGAGTCTTTGATGTATGGGGATCCAATGCTACGGAGGTGATGGGTCCTTATCGACAACCCTCTCCTTAGAAATTGCTTGTTGGTTTTAGCTTTTGATGTTTTTGGTTGTAGCTTGACAATGTTGTCTCGTTACTTTGGATCTTTGGGTTTAGGATTGGTCTTCCTTTTGGTGTCTTTAGTTTGATGCTTTTAGTGTATGATTATGCTACAAGTTTGATGCTTTTGGTGTCTTCAGTTGTTGTTTGCTACATTATGTAAGGAATTCGATTATGCTACAAGTTTGATCTTGTCATTGGTATTACTTTTCTTGTCATTCGATTAAGCTACAAGTACCACTCATATTGAAAAAAACAACATTACACCAAAAGAACAATGAAAACAACAACACAAATCCTTGAACAACAAAACACAAACTAAGAACATCGGATAGATCAAAGAACAATAAGAACATCAGAAAAACCTAAACCAAAGCTACATCAAAGCTACTTTTTCACCATGGTGAGTATCATTGTTGTGACAACAATGAATCCTCCCCATGAAATAACCACAAATTGGCGCAGGAGCTTTTCTCTTTCTTTTGCTGCCATTGCTTCAAATTCAAGTTTCTTCTTCTCCTCTGCAAACATTTCAGCATCAACATTTGGTGAGTTCGAAGATAAGCTTACATGGGTTTCTCGAAGAGATGTTTTAAGCGCTCGGATTTCCTCTTTCTGACGCCGTATCTGCTCTCTTGCTTCAATCAAACGAAGCTTCTGCCAACCAAACGGTTTTTCTTTGTCCGCCCACACTGAAAACCCATGTGTGTCACATTTGAAGAACACCCTTCCAGGGTTATCATCTGTCCATGACTGGGCCATTCTCGTCGGCTTTCTGCAGTGGCAAAGAGGAACGTCCAGCTGGTTATAGCTCGCGTTGAATGAGGTCGCCGATGAGGATGAATTTTCCATTTTGGCTGAAGAAATCGAGAGAGAGGAAGAGATTTCTGAGGATTTACAGTTTTAATCGATTTGGGGAAGAAGAAGACAACTTATTTCTCAACCAGGGTTACTTAATGTCTTTTCATCGCTAATTAAACACCTGCTGTTAAGGTTTTTGACAGGGAATTAACACCGTATTAACGGTTAAACAGAGTTAAAAATGGGGAGTCAAACTTATGGTTTTTGAATGTTCGGGTATTAAATAGGTAGCCAAAACAATGTTAGGTGTTTTTCAGATAGCGTTAATAGTCTGGGTATTTTTCTAGCAAATGTTTATAAAGTGAAGTATTTTTAAGGTTTTTTCCCAAAGAAAAACTGGTTGAGAACGTGACAAATTATGCTTAGAATATAAACTTTTCAACGAGCCCAAGAAACACGTTTTCTGAGCCTATTTTGAAGCCCAATTTTAACAATCAACGAGCCCAAGAAACACGTTTTCTCTCTCTAATTTCAAAATGATTGGATGGAGGGCGCGATGTTTCTGAAATCTCTCCACGACGAGGAACAGATTCTTCATCCTTCTTCGATTCTTTTCTCAACACTTCACTTAACATAGCTTCTGCTATGGTCTCCAAAGAGAGTTGCCGCAACGAGATCCGTGCGGCTATTCGACAGCTTAGCGACCGTTGTTTATACTCCGCCGCAAAATGGTTCCTTTTCTTTAAAAACCCTAATCTTATGCATACTCTCTCTTTGCTGCAATTTTCGAGCTCACTACTGCATTGGTTTGATCGAAATTGGAAATTTCTTCAGTTTCCGTTTGGATTGAACTATTTTCTCATCATGGGTAAACTGCTAATTAATCAAAAATTGTCTCTTTTTCGAATTCACTGTTGTCGCGATTCGCGAATCTGGTAGCGGATACATTCAAATTTTGGATTACTGACACGCGGTTGTGTGGGTTTTGTGTTCTGATTTGAGATTTGTGTCCAAGTTTGAGTTCGACACTGATTCGAATGTTTAAAAAATGTGTTCTTTTGATGGTAATTTCTGATTTTGGCTCATTCACATTTGTGAATTATGAGTTAAGTTTTCATTTTTTGTACTCGCACTGTAATCCAACGGTGATGAACAATTAGCCAGCTCCATATCTGACATCTCTCCTTGGCTTTCATTATTGCAGGGCAGGAGAGCAGCTAGTGGGGATAGAGCAAGACCCGTCTAATTTTACACCTTCAAATACGAGGTTCCAGCGAGGAAGCTCTAGCATCCGGAGAAGGTTCAGTACTAGTGAATCTATTACAACACCACAACCTTCCGTTGGCTTCTCTCAAGCAGTTACTCCTCTCCCTGAAGAAGATGAAGTGATTGATGGTGACCTTTACCTATTAGCAAAGTCTTACTTTGATTGTCGAGAGTACAGACGGGCTTCCCATGTGCTTCGTGATCAAATGAGCAATAAATCAGTGTTCTTGCGTTGCTATGCCCTTTATCTGGTATGTTCTGTTTTTCCTTCACTTCCTTTTGATTCGGCTTAGTGGAATGCTCTTTTTAGAAGGTGGCTTCAATGTGTTTTTGAAGATTCTTTTGGCCTTGGCCCGTAAGCTGCTTATAATTGCAAGATATGACGTTTTAATAAACTTAGAGTAAGCCCTGATAAACCAGTCACAAATATGTTGCATGGATACCAGATATTCTTAGGGTGTGCATCTTAATTGGAAATTGTTCTTCCTGTTTGAAGACAAGAATTTTCTTATGAAATTATCTTTATTGTGAGGTCTTATATATGCCCCACTCTGTAACATGCCATTCACTAAGTTTTCGATTCAATGAAGGCTGGAGAAAAACGGAAAGAGGAAGAAATGATAGAACTTGAAGGCCCGTTGGGTAAGAGTGATGCCATAAACCGTGAATTGGTATCTTTGGAGAGGGAATTATCAGCCCTGAAGAGGAGCGGAGCAATTGACTCGTTTGGATTGTACTTGTATGGTGTGGTTCTTAAGGAAAAAGGAAATGAGAGTCTTGCTCGTGCCAGTCTCGTGGAGTCTGTGAACAGCTATCCATGGAACTGGAGTGCCTGGTCAGAGCTGCAGTCTCTGTGTACTTCGATCGAAATCTTGAATAGCCTTAATCTAAGCAATCACTGGATGAAGGAGTTTTTTCTTGCCAATGCTTATCAAGAACTCAGAATGCACACTGAGTCCTTGGCGAAGTACGATTATCTGCAAGGTATTTTCAGTTTTAGCAATTACATCCAAGCTCAAACTGCAAAAGCTCAGTATAGTCTTAGGGAATTTGACCAGGTTGAGATCATGTTTGAAGATCTTCTGAGAAATGATCCCTATCGTGTGGAAGATATGGACTTGTATTCCAATGTTCTGTACGCAAAAGAAGCCTGTGCTGCGCTGAGTTACCTTGCGCACAAGGTGTTTTTAACTGATAAGTACAGACCTGAGTCTTGCTGCATCATTGGCAACTATTACAGTTTAAAAGGGCAGCATGAGAAAGCAGTTATGTACTTCAGGAGAGCTTTGAAACTAAACAAGAAGTACTTATCTGCGTGGACTCTTATGGGCCATGAATATGTTGAGATGAAGAACACTCCTGCTGCCATCGATGCGTATCGACGAGCTGTTGATATAAACCCTTGTGACTATCGAGCTTGGTATGGTTTAGGACAAGCATATGAGATGATGGGGATGCCTTTCTATGCACTTCACTATTTCAGGAAATCCATATTCTTTCTTCCAAACGATTCTCGGTTGTGGATAGCCATGGCTAAATGTTATCAGACGGAACAGCTGTACATGCTTGAAGAGGCAATCAAGTGTTACAAAAGAGCTGTGAACTGTACTGACACGGAAGGAATAGCACTTAATCAGCTTGCGAAGCTTCACCAGAAGCTTGGACGCAATGAAGAAGCTGCGTTCTACTTCGAGAAGGATTTAGAGAGAATGGATGCTGAAGGATTAGAAGGACCAAACATGTTTGAGGCTTTGGTTTTTCTTGCCACACATTTCAAAACCCACAAGAAGTTTGAAGAAGCAGAAGTGTACTGCACCCGTCTTCTCGATTATAGTGGCCCTGTAAGTATTTATTTGCCTCCATTTTTCACCATAGCAAACAATTAGTTTACAAGGATCGAGTTTCCTGATATATACTTATTCATGTTTTCAGGAGAAAGAGAAGGCAAAGAGTTTACTCAGAGGGATCAGAATGGCGCAAACCGGTTTTCCTTCGATGGATATTGAGCATTTTCCTCTTTAGTTGTATTCAGTTTTAGGTCCAACGCCAAGAATTTTATTTTATTTTATTTAAGTTATAAAATTTGATTATAAAAAAAAGCTCATGATCTGTGTCCTATTTTTTTAAAGCAAACCATGGATCTATTCTCTCTATAAAAAAAACATAGCAACCATTTACAGGAATTACAAAAGAAAAGATATTCTAAAATTGAAGAACTTGAGCATTTGAAATTTTATAGATGGAAAATGTTTTGCATACTTTTCAGTGTTAAATGGACCAATTATATTCATATCTAATTGACACAGTTAGAATATGAATTAACTTTAATCAGCATAATTTCTCTGTTGGAACAAAGTTTTTCATTTTCTATATACATGAAACTCATTTTCAATTACTTGTCTCAGATTCTTGTTTGTCTCCTATAGTACGAAACAAAAGGTGGGTAGGAATAGGTAGTAGAACACACTTGAAAATCATGATAGGTTTTCATTAATGTAAGAGCTTAAATATTTCAAACATGAGATTGTTTCGTTAAACATTGCAGTTATGTTTTCCAAACAGCAATTTTTCATACAAATTGTTATTCTCTGCTTAAAAGTGACAACACAAACCCAGCATAATAAGTAGTCTCTCTCTGCTGGAGGATAGTAACATCACAATGTTGACAAATTTGGTTTATATCACATGGAAATATCTGAGAAGATTCAATTCCAGAAAACAATAACAATAAAAAGCGATGCGAAGGGTCTTGAAAATGTTTAATCAGTATTTAGGATCAGTGAAGAATTTGTTGATTCCAGGCATGATTTCAGGATGCTTGTTGCGAACATACTTCCTCAGGAAATTTTCCTTATACTTCTCTCCCTCTGCATGGTTATCCAAAACTCCAGCAGCCCTATTCTCCTTTGTTACTCTGGTGGATTCACAAGAAAAAGAACCTTTTTTAGAACACTAAAATACTAAGTTTCAGAGTCCAAAAGTCCAAAAGTTTCAAACTGTAAATAGCTAAAGCTATATTGAAGGTTGATGTTATGTTCAATCACAAATACAAAGACATAAGCATAATCTAATACCGAATTGCATAGCTGGTTCCCAATCAAAACTCTAGTCTAACAAACTCTCTAATAAATCAGGCTAATGAAGAAGTGATTCCTATTTATAGGAACTTGGGCTAAGTTTATATTTCGTCTAACGGAGTATCTGGACTTAAACAACTTCGTTTTGATATAACAATTATCTTCCCTGAGACGACCAAAAATGTTCATAGGTTCTAAGACGCAATCTAAATCTGAGGAGGAGGATGCAAACCTGACTTCAGGATTTCCGGTGATGTTCCTTATCAACGAAAACCCGCAGATCCCAACAGCAACTCCGGTAGCCGCGAACAAGGGATACACCTGAGGAAGAAAAAAAACAAAGAACAAAAACGACGAAGCACGTTATCAGATTGATTAGAGTATACAAACGAGCTACATTCTATGAAGAATCGATGCCAGATCTAACACACTAAGCGTTTTAGAAATTAGGGAACAAAAAACGCAGTCAAAAAGAGAATCAATTAGATGTACTCGATTTAGTGAAATGGAAGATTATGAAGATCGATAAAGTACCTCAGGTCTCAACCAACGGCTCGACATTGGAATCGCAGAGAAGAAGATCGATGGGAGAGATTAGTGGAGGAAGACGGCTTCTCTGAGAATGTTGAGAGACGTAAAGAGAGACCCACACGGCCTTTTTATTTGACTTTAGGTTTTTTTACGTTTTACGTTTTTTTCGGGAGAGTGTAATAAGAAAAGAAAAAAAAAACAATTTTGTTTTTTTAATTTCTGTAAATTCGAAAAGTCGAAACTAGTTTCTGATTGGCAGCGAGGCGTCCAGCTTGAAGCCAATGAGCTGTTGACATCTGTTTCATTTTGAGTTTCGAGGCATGGTCTCCTGGCAAATGCCAAATGGGCAAGTTGCAACAAGATACGATTCTTATCCTCTTTTCTTACCCAAATATATTTATATTATTACTTAAATTGGAAACAGTTGAGTGAATTTTAGCAATTATGTGATGAATGATCTTTTATTACTGAGATATTTGAATTATCATTGATCGTTGAAAAATCTGTTTATTCGGTTGTATCAGAGAAGAACAATAATTTGACCTTTATATTCAAAGTTAAATTAACAAAATTTCTTGTAAAAAAAAAAAAATCAATACTTATAAACTACACTAATCTTGACCTTCAATATACACAGGATACTCATGACTTGCGAGCTCGGTCACGCCAAGATCCTTGTTGTTTTGCCAGTACCTAGAATCCAAATTATTGGATTAACAATCTTACGTACTGAATGTAGAATCGAGCTCCAAGGATCGATCGGTTCAAGAGCAAAAGACATTAGAATCTTACCTTTTCGCTAAGAAGATTTGTCGCGCCACTGTTGCTTTCTCCTTCAACGCCCTTTTCATTAGTTGTCACTGGCACATCATCCTCGATTTTGTCACTAGGAGTTTGGCATGTGGGTGCTCCAAACATGGCTTCATCGTGTGCGGCTTTTAGTTGCTCTTCCCTTTTCGCCTGCGAGTTTATTATCAACCATATAATTTGTCTCAAGGTCAGATTCTTGAAAATATGTGAATAGTGAGAGTGAATGAAAGATAATCACACCTCGATGGCATTAAACCTAAAGCTCTGTCCCATGCGCTTGACTAAGGCAGCGTCATCATTGGTACCTGCATAATCATACGAAGCTTTTAGCATCTCGTAGTAACTGAGGATGGTTTTTCCACTTTTAGCTCTATTGTACAGCGAAAACATGGAGTATAAGCAGAGATTCACAGGGAACTGACCTTCTTCTACTTCCTCATCATCAACCGGGGCATATTTGTCAAACTCAAATCGTTCCCATCCAGCACCTCTATTGGTATCTTTCTCAGCTACAATTCAAGCGGGATCATTTTAATCTCAAGAGAGGAAATCAACATGAGCGTTTTTCACAAGGTAAAAGATGCAAGGAAACTCATTTTAAGGACAGAGTCGATCTTTCTTGTTCTCTAATTCTTTCTTAGGCACCATGAAGTTTCTCTTCATATAACACTATATACATTTACATATATACAATCTATCTCCAGGAAAGGGTTTGTCCCAATCCTCCTTATATGCAGAGTTGCTATGAAAATTATGAGGTCAATGAATACCAAGTAAGGATGCTTTACTGATAGGGATAAGTTCGGGAAAGTCTTCCCCCGGGAGTAACGTACATTACATCTCCAAAACCAAGAGATACAGAGCTATATAACACAGCCTCGCAAAACTATAGCGTATATACAAGAGGAGCGAATTCTCAATTCTTGACTCTGCCTAACCAGTGCCCTAGACAAATCCAGAATACACCAAAGCAGCCTCCTAACTCCATTTCAAACCATTAGAAACTAACCAACTTAAGGCTAGGGATTCACGAAAAAAATTTACATGCTAATTACGATAGTCTGGCACTAGGATAATAAGAAAGACTTATCAGCATAATCAAGGCCAAGACATTAAGAGCCAAAACCCAGCCCCACCATATTAGCAATCAACAGTAACATTCCAAAGATGGATCCCACTAAAAAAGATGTTGTCGGGAGAATCAAATCTCAGCTGCTAGAAGCATGGACAGCTGAATCAATGTAATCTCTCTAATGGGACCGACTAACTCACCAGTTTCATCAAGCTGGAGCTTCATCTTGGCCTTCACTTTTTCAGCAGCCGACTGTTCAAGAAAGCAACATAACAAGCCCTCAAGGTATCAATGAAAATGACTATCACCAAATACCCACCCCAAAAACAACAACAGCAAAAATACAGAATCCAAATCCATAAACAAAGAAAGAGCTCCACAAAAAATAGTTGTACCAAGTAAATCTGAGTAGATGAAGGCATTCCTATGTTACAATACCAACCTAATCTTGAGGATGATGTTAAGCTAGTTCTTATCCCAAAATCTAAAAGGGAGCAAAGAGAATCTCTAACATTACGAAAATTCAGTAACCGAAGCTGAATCTAGTGAACATAGCAAGAATGAACAAAAGGGCATCAAAATCTGGTAGCCACGAAGGCTGAACGATGATGAAAGAAAGGCTTAAGAACAGTATACCATATCATCGTAGCCTTTGATTAACCGCGAGTAATCAATCTTCTTCTCCTTAACATCTTCTCTCCTCCTTCCTCTTCGCTCATCTTCGCTCCTCCTACGTTCCCTCCTCGGCGAAGTACTCCTGCTCCGGCTCCGACTCCTCCTCCTACGTCTCTCTCTATCATCATACCTATCACGCCTCTCTGCACTCCTGCTTCTCCTTCTATGGCTTCTATCTCTCTCATCCCTCTCTCTACTCCGGTAACGACGCCGTTCGCTCGAATCTCTGTAGCTCCTCTCCGGAACACTAGTTTCAGGCCTCTTCTTCTTGTTGTTCAATTTATCTCTGATGGATCGGATCTCGGAATCGTTTTCGGTGGATTTAGGGTTGGAAGAAGCCTTGACGAACTGATTGAGAAACGAAGAGGAGGATGATGCGATCGCCGATCCTCTCTCCGGAACGCCGGTGGTGGCTCCGGAGGAAAAGCCAAGGCCTTGCTTGAAACGAGCAGCTCCTTCTCCTTTACGCGTGAGCTCGTCGTAGTAAGCTGCCGCTTTTTCCTCTTCCATAACTTAAGCCGCCCCGTCCGTTTCTCTCTGTTCGGCTTTGTGTAGATAGTGTTTTTTACATTTTTCCTTTTTTTTTTAATCTTCGTTTTTTTTTTCAAACTGTAACCATCTCTCCATTTGTAATTCTTTTGAATTTTATTCTTTCATTTTTGAATATTTTAGAATGAACTAGAGATTGTCCGTGCTACACGCGGATTTGTTCTATATTTTTATAATTTAAAAATATATATATGAAACTACTATGTTTGTTTTTTTTTAGTTAAATTCTATACATAAATGTTGTTGAGATTTTTTTATTTTATGTTTTTGTTTGGTATATTTTTTTTTGTATGTTTTAAAATAGAAATTTTTTTTTTTGGGTTCAATGCGTGTTTGGTATTTAGTGTTTTTTTATATGTAATGTCTGTCTTTAGTTTGGTCATTGTATTATTTTTTGTTGGTAATTTTGCTTTTGTCAATAATTTTATTTATATTATTCTAAATGGTATTATTTTGTAGATATAGGGGTAATTTTATTAAATTGTTGCATACATTTTGTATATATGTTTTAAAAAGAAGACTCATGTTGCACTACCTCAGTTTTATAGTCGTTCAGCCAGCAATGAACAATAGTTAAAACAATATCTAAATCCTAATTGCACTTCGTTCAATATAGGACAGATCTAAAAACCAATATAATTCGACTATATTTGTGAGAATATTATATCAGACAATGGTCTTCTATCCAAACCGAATCAGAGGCATGCAGTATATATACTGAGGAATCAAACGCCTAATTTTACATTAGTAGGTCAATTAGCAAGCAAGAACATATCGCTAGGGTTTGTATGTAAAAGCCTAAGTCTAAGAAGATATATATGCACAAAAATTCATTCAAAAGATTAGATGTTCCGGTTGCTTGATAATTGAGAGCCCCAAACCTCAAGTCGTTCAGTTGAGTGTTTCTACAACCATCATCTCGATTTACCACCAACTCAACCACTTGATTTGTCACTGTCTTCTCGCCCCATTTTTTAATGCCTGATTGTGGTAATGGTTCCTCAATCCTTCGTTCATTCCATCTTAAGTATATCATAAACAGAACAATTAATAGAAATGAGCATATTAATATATCACAAACAGACCACATAAAACCATTCAAAGAAACAGATTTGCGGTGATGCGAGTGAGCATATTAATAGAAGTAATTACCACACGGATTTTGGAGCTAAAGTCAGAGGTGAAATCAGGAGGAATATCAACTTGAGTCTTCAAGAGACAAACCTCTGGTCCCACCTTCATCAACACAAACATTTGGAAGACGTCACAAAAATAGAAATCAAATGAAAGTCTTCAAATTTTGATACCAAGAATCGAATATTAATGTTTCAACCCTTATCGACGATATTAAGCAATTGAGCGACAGTTCCAACATCAGCGGCTAAGCAGAGATTGGTTTCTTTCTTCAAGACAGTCTTAAACAGCTTCTTCTCTGCTCAATTTCTGGCAATATCTGCCCCCAAAATCCTATGTTTAGGCAGCAAGCAAATATCATCACACTCAAACCTGAGATATTGAATATCAAAAGAAGCCATCGACCTCATCTCTCTAATTCCAGAATTCTTTTGAGAAACATGTGCAACAACTTGCGTACTCTCACCGATGATTTATCATTCATTGTTGAATTTTGGTAGAATTATAAGCATTGAACTTGAAGATCCTTAATTTTAAAAAGAAGGTTGTGCTCCTAAATCCCGCTTAAAATTCATTCTTGTTCCAAATTTATGTCTTTGAGAACATTGATCATAATGAAAACGAATATTCTCTTAAGACATATAATGAGCAAGAAGAATCAATAATTACTCTTACTTTATCCTTGATGAGTCCACCACGTCGACAACAGATTTCCTCCTTCATTGCAGCCGTTTTTGAACACTTGTGAGATTCAACAGAAACAGATCAAAGAAATTCGAGAAAAGAGTTTTATATGTAATGAGAAGTTGAATAGTACATTAATGTTATAAATTGAGACAACAACAAACCATAAATGTAATGATATCTTGATATATAAGCTCGTGGTAATCTAAATATCTTAATAGTACCTAGGTTATCACATAGGAGCTATGGCGAGTAAATGAGACATTCTTGCTTCTCCATATGTTTGTTGAAGACTCAAGAGTGCTGCCTTAAAAAAATGGAAATGATTCATGAGAGGCTGAATATGGCAGGCAAAATATACAGAGACTCACATATTCATATTTACATGCGTAAATGCACATAGAAAAGAACCATACCTGGAGAGAAAATTAATGAAAGCTTGTTCAAGTAAAAGAAATGTCCTTACATTTGCCACAAAAAATAGCTGTTTATCAATTAGAAAATATTGTCTTATAGGCAGTGGCATATAAAAGAGAGTTGGGTTCCTCTTATTCCTCTACCTCTATAGCATGAGGGGTATCTAACAGCTGAGCCAGATAGGTGACTATCTCATCTCTCAACACATGATATTTTTTTTCATCCTCTGATTACATAGCTGGCATGCGTAACTATTAAATCAGGAGTAAAAGAAACATGTTTTGTGCTCAACCATCTTCAAGTTGGTGCCCTGCCAATAATACTTTTGGCCTGCAATTCCAGTACGTGTATAGATCACTCGGAACATATTAAGTACCCATCAAAATCAAAAGAAGAGTACGACCTGCATTTTTCTTTTGCTTTTCCTCATGGATGCTAAACACTCGCTTGAGAACATGTCTTGTTGTCTCGTTTCTGTCTCTCGCTTATGCAGTGACCCTTACCGAAAGATCTCTTGCGTTCAGCTCTGCTTCTGATTTTGTCAGTGTCTATATAAGGCCTTGTTGCGTGATGATGCTCCTCAAATTGTAGTGATCCCTGTACATGAGAAAAAAAGGATTTCATTACATAGATTAGACACAGATTTTGGAAGTGACAATCGTATTTAGAGATAAAGTGTGATAAACAAATTGGATCAATCTAGAGATTAAGTTGAGTTGATGGGTGTTAAAAATGAGTGATCGGGAAGGCATGGGAGATGAGAAGAGGTTGAAACTGAAGAGGTAGCGGGGAGGTGAGATTAATTGTAATAGAATAACGTAGAGTTTCTATCAATTGGTTGATGAAAATCATTTTCACGAGAGGAGAAGCAGATGACGTGGCGTCTTTTCATGAAAGTTTTAAAAAGCTGATGTGGATAGGCTAAAGAGCCCCAAATAGCTCCTTTTATATAGTATAGACTAGGAGAGAACCCGCGTATATACAGGGGTCTTGTTTTAATTTATATTTAAATACTACATTTTTAAAATTTGTATTGAATTTTATGTTTATTATCAATGTTTTTGCGTTTAAAATATTTATATTTTCTTCGATTTCTTTTTGATGATACATTATTTGTAATCTCTTCTACACCGGTTGTGCAAAATAGTCTAATTTTTCTTCCAAAATAATAGGAGATTAAAAATCTACTATTTTAAATTTTGTATGAAAACGTAATAATTCACTTATAAATATACGTTTAATATCAGAGAGTAATATTTATTTGTTCTTCGATCTTCATATTCTTTTTATTCTTGTAAATCTTACTAATATAATACTTGTTAACTTTTTCAATTTACCATTTTGAATTTTTTAGTTATATATATTTTATTGATTCCATTTTTTTAATTTAAAATCATGTATGACATTTTTATGTGCACATCTTTCTTTATACTAATTTTTTTTAATAATTGTTATCACTTTAATTGTTTATTAAATATTTTTGTGTTTTTTAATTTATTAGTTGAAGTTTTATATAAAAATATTTGAAACTTTGTAATTTATTCAGTTTTAATTTTTTTTCATTTGCATTAAAATTTAGTATATTTTTAGTTTGAAAATGAAATTTAAATCACTTGAAAGAAGAAAATAGAATAGTGCATCTAAAAAATTTTGTATTATATAATATTTATAAGTTTTTCTATATTTAAATTAAATTTGAATTGCATTCTAATATATATATATATATATTAATATTTATTTATGTTTTAATGTGTTTTGCTTTAAATTTAATTAATTAATTATTTTATCAATTTTTTGATGTGCCACATGTCATTCTCTCTATTGTTGATGTGTCACTCAGCTGGAGAGAATTGATTGTCTTTTATATATAAGATACGAATTAATCAATAACAATGATTCTAATTTGTATTTATGAGGACATGACTGGAATTTTTTTGGAGGAAAACAAAATATCAGACCATTTTGATTAAAGGTATGATTGTTTTTTTTAACTGGCCTAATATTTTGTTACTGAAGATGGAAGTTTAAACTTTATCTAATTGCTCTTCTCGAAAACTAGATAATTTATGATTGTATGGAAAATCAAAGTAGCTAACCTAACACTAAATTTTGATTCAAATTAGAAAAAAAAATGTATACTCAAATTACATAATATGGTTTTTAAAATTTCATGTAGTTGAAGACCAAACAGATAAATTTATTGTTTTGAGTAATTTTTTGGGTCGTCACATCCACCATGACATGTAGACAACATTTTGTTTAAATCGTTTTAAAGCATGTCCACCAAGTTTATGCCTCTAGGCTCTAGGCTCTAGACAGATCTTAACAGTCATCATTTCACAATTTTCACTCTTATCACATTTTCTAGTCTCGGTCTTCAGTCTCCACAAGCGGAAGATCCGAAGATTAGAGTGAGAACAAATTAGTGTTAGGATAAATATCAGTTATCATAATCACAGTATACCACGTGGACCTTGAATGAATCTATAAGATGTTATGGGAAGAGCTACTTTCCACATCAATGCATCTGTCGAAACTTGTAAGTCTACCAAACTCGATAGCTAGCTTTGTGATGGGATGCGTGAATGACAAAACATGAAGAGCATCTTCCTAACCAACACATGTGAGCCTTGATGGCATGTAGTATAGGAATGTTAGCTGCCCATGCACCTAATACAAATGTCTCCTGCAAAAGACCTAACATGAAAGGCACTTTAATCTCATTTGTTCTGGATATTTGATATTCAAACAAAGGAGTACTCTTGTCAGTTAAATATTTTGAGCATCAATCAGAAAAGATTAGGA